TCTCCTGTGTGCTCTCAGACGAATATAAAGTTCTGAGTTCTAAACGGAAACCTCGATTCACCCCTCCTTACAAGGTTTCTCCCTTAAATGTCCTCTCTGGTGGTTTCGCAGACCTGAGCTGTAGCTGAAGCCTTTCCCACACTCCTCACACTTATAGGGCTTCTCCCCGGTGTGGACTCTCTGATGGACATGAAGACAGGAGCTGCGACCAAAGCCTTTGCCACACTCCTCACATTTATAGGGCTTTTCACCAGTGTGGACTCTCTGGTGGCCTTGAAGATGTGAGCTCTGACTGTAGCCCTTCCCACACACGTCACATCGATATGGTTTCTCTCCAGTGTGCACTCTCTTATGACTGAGGAGACCTGAGCCGTATCTGAAGCCCTTTCCACACTCATAGCACGTGTAGGGTTTCTCTCCCGTGTGCAGTCTCTGGTGGGTGCGAAGATTCGAGCCATAACTAAATCCTCTGCCACACTGCTCGCACGTGTACGGCTTCTTTCCTGTGTGGACTCGCTGATGTTTGTGAAGACTTGAGGTGCATCGGAAGCCCTTTCCACACTCCTTGCACTTATACGGCTTCTCACCTGTGTGGACCCTCTGGTGAATGAGAAGCCCCGAGCTGTAGCTGAAGCCTTTGCCACACTCAGCACACTTATAGGGCTTCTCTCCCGTGTGGACCCTCTGATGGATGAGGAGGTCAGAGCTGTAAATAAAGCCTTTCCCACACACGTCACATACGTAGGGCCTCTCTCCCGTGTGGACTCTCTGGTGACTATGCAGGTCCGAATTCCGCCGGAAGCCCTTCCCACACTCCACACACTTATAGGGTTTCTCTCCTGTGTGGACCCTCTGGTGGACATGGAGGTCTGAGCTGCGGCCGAAGCCCTTCCCACACTCGCATTTGTAGGGTTTCTCTCCCGTGTGCAGCCTCTGATGCATGAGGAGCCCCGAGCTGTAACTGAAACCCTTCCCACACACGTCACATTCATAGAGGCGCTGCCCTGTGTGAACCCTCTGGTGAGCCTGAAGGTATGAGTTGTGACTGAAACCTTTGTCACATCTATCACACTGGTAGGGTTTCTCCCCCGTGTGCATCTTCTGATGACTGCTGAGATGGGAGCGACAGATGAACCCCTTTCCGCAGTCGGCACAGCTGTAGGGTTTCTCTCCCGGGTGGACGTGCCGATGCTTGTGCAGCGCAGACTTGGCGTAGAAGCCTTTGCCACACTCGTTGCACGTGTAGGGCTTCTCGCCTGTGTGCAGCCTCTGATGGACCTGAAGCACCGAGCTGTAGCTGAAGCCTTTCCCACACGCGCTGCACTTATATGGCTTCTCTCCAGTATGGACTCGCTGGTGGACAAGCAAGTTTGAGCTTCGACCGAAGGCCTTCCCACATGCCTCGCATTTATAGGGTTTCTTTCCCGTGTGCACTCCCTGGTGAATAAGAAGAACTGACTTGTACCTGAACCCCTTCCCACACACATCGCATTGGAAGGGCAGCTCTCCAGTGTGGACCCCGGGACGGCTGTGAGGCTGCGTCTTGGGCCCAAAGCCCCGACCGCGTTCACTATTTTTAAAAGATTTCTCTCCTGTGAAAATTCTTTGCTGTCTCTCGAGACAGGCGGTCTGCTTCCAGCCCTTCCCAAACTCGTACTTATAGGGTTTCTCTCTCAATGGCACTCTTGGATAAATGGGGTGGTTTGAATTGTCCCCAAAGCCATTTCCACGTTCGCTACTTTTCAAACCATTTCCTCCGGGGTTGGGGTGATGAAGTATGGACTTTTTAATGAAGTCTTTTCTACATTTATAGCAATTACATGACCTCTCTCTTTCAGCTAATCTGTGGTTATCGTGACAATCTGATATCCAGCTGAGGCCATAGCCATCCCAGTCACATTTATAAATTATATCTTCCACATCAAGTTTTTTACACCTTTCTAGAACGTTCCAAGGCTTGCCCACAAAGGCTCTAGTCCAAGATTCTTGAATGGAGACTGGTCTTATGGCTTTCCAGGCTGGAAACTCTTGATGTTCCAAATGGATGGGCCCATCTCTCCGAAGACTATTCGCCAAATTTTCAATTTGTGAACCCCAGGCAGATGACCCTTCCTGATCCTGACAGAGAGAAGCATCTTCTGAAAACTGGAAGTCTTCCCCTTGAAGATTTACTCCGTGGTCTTGACTCCCAGTTATTTCACCAGGCCCCTGCTCCCAGATTTCCCAGTAGGAGAGCTCTCTGTCTGAAAAGAACTTTAATTCTCTTTCTTGAATATACTCCATATCCTTTTCATTATTGTCTCCTATGAGGTTAAAGAAAATTCTGGGATGAGAACAAGGACACTATTGGCTCAGAAAGATCAGGCTTTCAGACTTGGACCAAAAACAGCTGAGAGAAAAATTCAGCTTTATGTATCTTAACTACCAGGGCACTTTATTTTTATGTCTAAAAGAAGGAAGAAGTTCTTATGAATAAGCTTTGAAGTTAAATGTTAACACAGTCCTATCAGTAACAAACTAAGTCTCATCACACAGTTGCCAAGCAAAAAAGAAATTCTGAACAGATTTTTTACAGAGAAAATTCACTTCTCCAGCTAATAAAATTGTTGTTGCTTTTAATAGTAATATCTAATACTACTATAATAACACCTCCCATGTGCCAACCATGTACATGTATTAACTTATTTAACCTGCAGAATCACACTGAGGTAGAAACCACTGTTATCTTCACTTTACAGATGAGGAAACCAAGGCACAGAGAGGTAAGTAATCTGTTAAGGGACCCCACCAGGCTGGGAAAAAGCGGTGAGCTGGGATTCAAAGCAGAAGTCTGGTTGCAGAGCTACATTTAGTGTTCTCACCACACTGCTGCCCAGAGTGACTCTAATTTGAGGTACGTATGGGATGAACTTGAGAAGGGAACAAAGCACAGAACCCCCCAAAGTGGACCAGCTGTGTCTATGCCTTCTGTGAGTATATTATATAGGAACCCAGATGACACTGATAAGGGACAGAGACATAAAAATATCAACTCATCCCCTTTATTGGTTGTGAGCCATCAAACTGTCATTTTTACCATATAGTTCTAGACAATTTAAAAAATCTGTCCATATTTTCTGATATTCTTTGTTGGCTATTTTTATATCTTAGGGCTTAACTAACACGAATCTGTTTATAATCAGGAACTTACAGGATACTGGAGTTAACTGAGAAATACAACAGAACTCTCAATGTTCTGGAACAGTTTCTCTGCCACTGGTTTACCCTACACTGACTGGCTGTTTCTATCAGAGGGAGGAAAGTCCCCTCACTCCTTCCATGTGTGTCACTCTCTGAAAAGCATGAAGGAACCCTGAGAAGGGAGGGACGGAGTAATACATATAGAAGCTATAGAACAGTAAGCTACGACGGTACCAGCAGTATCCACAGGCAGGTTGAGGGCGTAGAACGGGCCTCTGTGGGGCAAGCTCATCCCCTCACTGCCTAGCTAGGACTCCAGGCTCCCTGGTTCTCACCTGAATGTGCACCTCTTAGAGTTCCTCTCTCTGTCACCCAAGTCTCTCTATCTTGTTCCAAATGGGACATCTCACCAGGTTTGCAAGGTTGTTGCCCTGAAAATGCAAGAAAATGCAAGACTTAGGCTCATTTTTGAGGTACAAAAGATTATCTGAAAATGTAGCCCTAACTCCATGACCATCAGGCCTTTGAAGGACAGACAAGATTTGAGACTGGCTAAATAAAGCGACTTATAACATTTCTGTTTTAAAAAAGGATTTAACCTATGTACGAAGACCAAAAGTAACCTTTCTCCAGGGAACGAGAACACTCCAGTAAGTTAAGTTCCCCTCACCCACTGAGACCAGGTTCTTGAAGTTCTCCAGCATCACGTCTCGGTACAGCTTCCTCTGGGCGGCGTCCAGCAGCCCCAGCTCCTCCTCGGTGAAGACCACAGCCACGTCCTTGAAGGTCAATGGCTCCTAAAATGTGAAGCGCCATTAACACAAATACCCACTGGATGAAATGTAAGTTTGCTGTAACTTACTTGGCATCACTAAGATAAGTAGACAAGAAATAAGAAATTATTCAGTTTGGCGAGTCAAATCTAGTACTATTAATTTTAGGTGCCGATAATTTTAATTCTAACCAATTTGGTCTTCCATGGCCATCTAAAGAGTAAAGCAAGGAATGTCCTTTGCTCAGTGTGAGCACAAATTCTGAGGGCAATTTCTAGAACAGAAATGGCTGAATCACAGGGTCTGCATATTTTACAATTTGACTCTAACTTTAGGTTACCAACTCTTTCTCCAAAAAGACTGTGGCAACTAATAAGAGTCCTGACAGTGCCTAATTTTAGTGTGCCCAGGACAGCACACTCCCCAAATCAACACCTTGGCCGGAACGACTGTTCTTCACTCCTCCACAGCAGTTGGGTGAATCCCGCTCTTTACTGCCTCAGCCTCCCACCCTCCACACGCACACCTTTTACGGGCTTCGCTGTCAGCCCCTGACAGAAGCAACCAAGGTGTTTATCCAACCATCTCCCCAAACAGGTGAGACCTCTAAACCAGCAGTTGAAAGTGTAGTTTCAAATCATACTGTATCAGCCTTCGTTATAAATTGTGGCCTAAGATTCGAATTGCTCCAGTCCAGTGACAAAAAAATGGCAGTTATATATTCTGAAATATAGTGATTAGCTGTTCCTATATCATCACTATCTTCATCTAGATTGTGACATGCTTTATGCTTTCTCGAGAGGGAGAAAATTGCGTATGAGGTCTTCAGAATTACACTCTATCTTCAGTCTGTCCTTGGAATACCTGTGACAAGGTATTACAAAGTTAAGAGTGAGCTGTGATACCACAGGTATTTCACCTTTACCAAAATTCATGGAGGCGAGGTAGCTATAGTAAGGTTTAGTGCATACATGTCAACATATTACTCATTCGAGAAATATTCAGTACCTATAAAACAGTGTTAGGCAGTAGGAATTAGGCAAGAAAGACACAGCCCTGCCCTCATGGGGCCTGCGCTGGAAGTCCCCAAGACCACCTCCAAGTTCTATGTTGCACTAGACAGACTTACAGGACTCAGTATGTAGTCATACCCACAGCTAAGACTTATTACAGTTAAAAAGCAAAATGAGCAGAGAGGCACATGGGGTGAAGTCTGGCAGAAGCCAGGTGCAACCAGGTGTGCTGCTGTAACAGATCTTAGCCACGAGGAAAACTATACACTGAGTCCCTTGAGTCCTGGCAAATCTCCAAACGAGAGGGTCATCTTGAGGACTCCAAACCAGGAGATGAAGTAACTTGGTCAAGGTCACACAGCTAGTAAGAGATGGAGCTAGAACTTGAACGCAAAGAGCCCAGTTCCAGAGACACTGTATGTTAATAACTGTCCTTTTTATAAAAGCCAAGATGTGTTTACTACCAGAAAATGAGAAGATACAAAGCAGATAATTTTAATACCTTCATTTATAGCAAACATACTATAAGGCGGGCACCGGACTAAGTACTTTTATATGATTTATCTCATTTAATCCTCGCAGTACTCACAGAAAGTGAGAACTTTCTAGAGTGTTGAAAATGATCTATTACCTGCTCTATTATCTGTCATCTGCAACTACTCACAAGGTAGTTACTATTGCTATCCCTGTTTCGCAGAGAGAAAAATGGGATCTCAGAAGTGAACATTGTCAAGGAACACACATCTAATAAATGCAGGGTCAGGACTGAATCAGCCTTACTAACCATGCTGTCACCTCTCTGCTCGACTGCTGCCCAACTGAGATCAGAATGACCACAGGCCACAGGAACGCACATTCCCACTCTGGAGAAGGAGCGTCGCAAACAGAGCACATTTACCAGCACAATCCTAGATCCATCCCAAGACTCGAGGCAGCGTAAGAGGGGAGAAAGCTTGGGCCAGAGGCCATCGGTTGGCAATTGATTAGACAAATGTGAACCAGCCACTAACTCCCAAATCTTTATATCCAGCTCTGTCTTCTGCACTGAGTCCTGCCATAACCAACTACCACTTAGACAGCTAAAAGGTAATGCGAACCAGAAAGAGCCAAATTAGAACTGAGTATTTCCTCCCAAATTGTTCTCTCATCTCCCCGGTGTGGGTAAACAGTACCGTCTACCTTAAAATCTTTGATTCTTCCCTTGTCCTCATTTCTCACATCTAATTCATAAAAAAAGTCTGCCAATTATTCTCCCAAAACATACTTCAAACCTGCCCACCTCTCCCTGTCCCCACGTCTGTCTCACTAGTCTGACTCATCATTACCCTTTGCCTGGATAACTACAGATGCTTTCAGGTCATCTTATGTCCCTTAAAGTACCTAAAAGCAATCACCTTGCTTTTAATTCATTTACGACCTGTCTCTTCCTTGTAGGATGTCAGCCGCCTGAGGGCAGGGATGTTGACTGTTTTGTTCTGTGATATATCATCAGTGCTTAGAATGATGTTTCGCCCATCATCGGTGTTCAACATATATTTGCCAAATGAATAAATGAAAGAAAACATGAACAGACCAATGATCACATAAATAACTGAAAAAAGGTGTTTGAGATCTACCATGAAGAAGGGCACCTGGTCTGGAGAACATTACAACTAAGTTTTAGCCAAACTTTCATTCAAACATTCATTTTTTTCCTTCAGAATTCAGTAAAAATAGTAAAACAATGCAGACATGTACAAGAGACTCAATGGACAAGAGTACAGAATAGAATGCAGGGCCATATGAGAGATGAATTGAATGGTATCTCTTTCTTCAGATATATAATATACACACATATTTTAGATATATACATATATATACAAATACATAAATATCTAATGATAAGGACGGCATTTCGATCGACTTGCAAATGAATGATTAACAAATGACACTGTCGTAATTGGCTATCCATCTTGGAAGACAATGAAGTTAAATGTCAACCTTATGCCATTTACAAACTACAGTCATATTAAAGATTTAAAAATTTTAAGTAAATACTAAAAAAAAATTCAGGTGTCTTTTTCACTAAGTTTAGGATGGGTAAGGTCTTTTGAAACTAGCTATTTTGTTGATAAATGTAATAAGGGATGAAATATATTCACCCCGATCCTTTTTTTTTTCTCTTTTTCCTTCTACCAAAGGAGGGAGACATTTACTCTGATGTCTACAGTGGGATTTCTGGAGAGAAAAGAAAACTCGACCCACCTGGAACTCAGTCTTGTCCTCCCCGTGTTGGGAAGGGGCTGAGGCCTGAGAAAGCAGAGCTGCAAGAGAATGAAGCGTGAGATAAGTGATACCCGCCTGTGCCTCAGGTGCCACCTGCGCCTCAGGGACATCTGCCCCCTCACACACTGGTTTCCTTTCCCGTGATGCCAACTCTCCACCCACCTAACTCTCTCTTTCCACACTCGACTCATACATCCGCCCACACCCCACACCCATCATTAACGCTCACCTCTTTCCCCACGCCTCGGGGTCAAAGTCTCCATGGTCCCCACTCCCAAGGGTTTTGAGAGTGGCAGCAATTTTATTTAACCTCTGATCTTCCTAAGCTAGAGAAGACCCAGGTTTTCTTCATTCTCGAGACTTTTCAAGATCTTCCAAGGAGCGTCAGACAGATACCTGAGGTCACAAGCACCTGTCTCCACCTTCGCTCCCCTGAGCCTGGTTGGTTCCCATGCTCTGGGGACCTGTGGGCTCAGGAGGGAACTCGACGTCATCTGATTTCTTTCTTCTGTGCTCTGGGTCTCCAGTAGGGTTCATGCCCTCTGGACAGCACTCACTCAGTGGAGATTTACTGAGTAACTGTAGGCACAGTCCCTGCTCTGAAGGGACTCACAGGCCAGAGAGCCGAGCATGCTGTGGATGGCTGAAGACAGTCACAGAGGTGTCTGCAGGGAGGGCCCAGCAGCAGAAGTCTCGCAGTGGGACACTGGGCCCTACGGAAGGGTGCACAGATCCCGCAAACATGTGGGACATGTGCCCTGTGAAGGAAAACCCAGAGTGTGAAAGTTTTAATTGCACTAGACTGTGGGGCTGCAAAAAAAAAAAAAAGCCCCCAAAACAAAACAAAACAAAAAGACATCCTGTCCTTAAGGATTCTAAAAATCACAATACAGTTCAGCAAATGTCTTCTAAATCAGAGTTTACAACCTTTTTTATTCCACGGCTTCCTTTGGCAGTCTGGTGAGACTCATGGACTCCTACTCAGAAAAATGTTTTAAATGCATAAAATACAAAAAACGGGATTATTTTAAAAGCTAATTATACTGGAATACAACCTTCGAAACTATTAAAACACCAAGTATGTGATTCTTTATTAACACATTAAAAACCATGACTTAACTACTGTAATTTGAAAATAATAGTGAGCTTAAACAATATTTTGAAATACCTATATGAATTGTAATACAATATAAAAACAGCTATGATTTACGTGGATCACAAAATCACAGGTCTGCTAATACTTCTGTGGTTTGCTGTGTACAGTCACAATGGAAGGAAATGCTGACTTTCAGTTCAACTAGAGTAAATGTTTTCTCCACTCAAGGTCACGGACCTGCTGCATTATGCCCACAGACTCAAGTTCAAGAACTCTTTTTCTAAACAAAGCCTTCTCCTGCCACCAGAACAAATGAATCACTCCAGGACCTGGCAACGCTGTTTAAATTGCTGGTTTTCCCCCTTTCACATAGCCTGCCTGTCCCATGAAGACCTCTAAATCATCACAGGACTCGAGGCTTCTTCGTTTACTTCTCCACCTTGCACGGGTCTGGCACACTGGATGCACTTAGCATATTCCATCCACAGGATACGATGCAGGGAGATGAAGAGAACTGGAACCAGCTTGCAGCTAGTCAGTAGGTCGTGCAGACACTGACCACGAGCTCCTTCTTGCCTTACTTGTTTTCTCTTCAGATCCAAGCCACAGGGCAAGTTCAGGCAAACAGACACACACGCTTGGGGTGTCAGCTCATAAGATACTCCAGATTGTACTGCTTCAGAAGGCCATGTCTCCACCTTTGCTCTGTGTCAGAACTTGCACAGCCCACTCTGGCAAGCACCTCTCTGTGTCACACATGGGGCACTGCCCTATACTAGGACTGCTCTCTGAAGCAAGTGTCAAAGGCTGGGCAACACAATACCTCCTACCCCGAGGCCAAATCTCTAACAAGCCATTTAAACTCAGCTCTTTAGTACCTCCTAGGACCAGGCTCTGCAAACTTCAGCATGTACCAACACCGTGAGCGATTGTTAACCCTTTTTCCATATAGGAAAAGTGCAGCTCGCTGCCAGTGTTAATTTAACATCATGCACAGGAACATTACATTTTCTAGGAGTTTACGTTTTCAGTGATCGAGAATTACTAAATTTTGAAAATGGAAATTTACTAAAACCCGAATGCTATAAATAGAAGGATGTCATTTGTTTCCAAAGACTATCAATACACTAGAGCGATGCGAAAATAAGAATAAAAACGCGATACTTGACTTTGGGGGTCAGGTTAGGACTGTAATCCAAAAAACGGGATTAGGGTAAACGCTGCAGCCGCAAGCACCACCGGCGAGTATTCTTGAGGTAAACGAGAATTGGGTTAAAACAGATTGCCAGACCCCACCTCCAAAGATTCAGAATCAACAGCTCTGCAGTGTAGAACAAAGGATCCGTATTTCTAAGAAGTTTTTAGGTGATGCTGATATGGCTGCTCCAGAGATGACACATTAAGTAGCATGTGCTAAGCTACATTTGAGTGGCTGTGTTTCAGGGTTTCTAGGGGCTTCTAGTTTGTACAAAACTTCCTCATATCCCTGACCTCTAAAGGTTAGACTGCCTCAGGCTTTAGTCCAGGAAGTTTTGTCTATCTGTACTCATTCACTCCCTTGCTGAACACATCCAGTCTCATGGCTTCAAACAACATCGATATGCGTACTTAACGTGCCCGCAAACTCCAGCTTTGCCTCTAGAAGTCCCTCTCGCCTTTCAAATGAGAAAGGCAAATATTTGGGGGTGATCCTCGATTCCTCTTTCTCAAATACTACATCGGCAAATACGTCCAAATTATAGCCAGAATTGGATCAATTCTCTAACTTAGTGTTACTACCCAAACCACCACCACCTCTTGGCTGAATTCCTGCAACAGCCTCCTACCTGATCTGCTTCACTTCCTGCCCTCCACAGTCTATTTCCTACACAGTAGCCACAGTGGTGTTTTTTTGTTTTTTTGCTTTTGTTTTTTATTTTTATGAGTTTACTGAGCCAAACTGCTAACATGTGGCAAGGAGCAAGATCTCAAATGCTCTGAAGAGTGATGTCTTTAAATGTAAATAAAGTCATGTCACTCGTCTGGCCAAGACCTTCACCAAAACTCTTTCAATGGCCAACAGACCTGACACTATTCTGGTGACCCAATACTCAACTTCCTACTCATCCTTTCTTTCTCATTATGCTCAGCCCCTCTGGCCTCCTAACTGTTCTTCAAATAGACCAGTCATGCACCCACCTCCTGGCCTTCGTTGCTGTCCACAGACCCCTCACTTCCTTTGGGTCCCTACTCAAGCGCCATCTTTTCAATGACGTCACCCGACTATCCTATTTGAATTTGCAAGCCCCTCTGCAGACACTTGCAAAGCCCCTTCCCTGCTTCATTCTTCTCTGTGAACCTTATCTTCTAACCTACTGTGTTTTTCTTGTGTACTGTCTTTCTGTG